AGATAGATAGATAGATAGAGAGAGAGAGAGAGAGAGAGAGAGAGAGAGAGAGAGAGAGAGAGAAAGACAGACAGAGAGACAGAGAAACAGAGAGAAGGAATGAATATGTTCAATAGTAAGTATTATGATTTAATAATCGCGATGGCGCCAGTTTCCTATCGTAAATACCAGATACCAACATTACTGATACTGTATTTACTATGCAAACCTTCTATAAAACGTCGTATATGCTCATGTATCATTAAAACGGACGACGATAATGTTAGGATTTCATTTTATCAAAAATAAAACACGCTATGTGGAACAATGCATTGTGTATGCAATAAACATGCTAACACACCGAATCTAAGAATTTAGAGGTACATTTCACAGATATTTTTAAAGACTCCGCCCTCGTAATGTATCTAAGAAAACACTCACAGTGACGGATTCTTCTTCACCACATTTTCGATGTCGGAAAGGATTTTCTCTGCAGCTGGGAAGATATCGTCTTGCATTGTAATCTTGTCACTATTATTCGTTACATGTCTCAGGAAATCAGATATAAACCGATACACAATTAACCCTTCTGTTTCTCTCACTGCACCTTTCAATGCAGGCACGATGTAGCGTTTTTCTGCGGAAGTGTGGGGGGATATACTACGATACTGTTTGAAGTTTTCTGCAAGTCTCGAACGTTCGAAATCAGATGGCGCGAAATTATTAACTCTGAACTATGTTGATAAAAAATAAAGCTCACACGTACTTCTTTCTGTAAATAAAAAGAAATAAATTAAATATATGCGTCTAATCATATTGTGAAGTTTACAAATACGTGTCAATGTAATATTTTACTTTATTTACACACATATATATGTGTGTGTACGGATAGATATTTTTATAGAACGATAATTTATATTATCATTGATACATATAGATATTGAAGACAGATTATTTTGTTATGATAAAAACTAAGATTATAATTTGAAGTTACTCAAAATAAATAATCTTTTCTAAAGTAATAATTAAATATTGCTAAACAGTATTTATTAAAACAAAAAATATAGAATATAAAAGAATATTGTTCAATATAAATTTTATACTAATATAAAATTTTCCTTAAAAATTCCAAAAGTATTGAACAAAAATTAAATAATCGATTAAAATGATCGATATTATCGATAAGTTCATGTTCATATCGTAAGAACATAACTTAATGGAATACGAGTCTCCGGCCATCAATCATTATAACCTATAGATCTTAAAGTTCCTCCTGATTTCATTTATTACTATTCATCTTACCTTATAAGGAATACTCGTTTAATCGGTACACACTTCATTTTCCGCACCCGAGGTAAAATATTTAAATTAAAACCATGTCAGATCCTCGTATAAGAACTCTAAAAATTAAAACTGGAGTAGTGAAACGTCTCGCGAAAGAAAAAGTTACGTATGAAAAAGAAGCAGCACAGCAACGTGAAAGGATACAGAAATTAAAGGAACAGGGTGAGAATATTTTGAGAAATGCGACGGAAGCTTGTTATATTTTTCTATTACTTCAATCCTTTCAATAGCTGTGTTATAAAAACACTTTCGTATATTTTTCATTTTCTTTTTAATACTCCAAAATGTTTACTTTATCAAATAACTGATACATTATTTATTATAAAGCATATAGATATACTCAGTGCACGAAATAATACAACAAAATTTTCCCATTATTGTAGTTTTCTTCAAGAATATTAATTATTATATCATTTTGATGTTATTACAGACAAAGATGGTTATGATATCAAAAAACAAGAAGAAGTGCTTCAGGAATCTCTTATGATGGTACCAGATTGTCAACGACGCCTTGTAAAAGCTTTTGAAGAACTTAAAAAAATTTTGGACACGGAACAAGATTTAAAAGAAGTTGAAGATTATATACAAGCAGAAAAAATATTGCAAGAAGCAGCATCTCAACTTCCTAAAGAGGGTGATATTATGGAGATGTGTTAAGAAAGCAAAGCCACCTAAGTTTAAGATATTGCTGAAAATTGAAAGAACTATATTTTCATCTAAAATAATATAAGATTTGTAAACAAGTTAAAATAATCATTTAATGCATAAAGAAAGTTATAGTATTAAGGTATTTTATATTTTTCCAAATTAAGTAGATTTGAATAATTATGTTTAATAGTCAAAGTTTTTTAGAGGGTCCCATGCAAAGATCTAGGGATTCACATTACGATATGACTCATTCTATGAATCAATCTATTTACAATGCAAATTATAATGTGAATGCATATCAAAATTATATTTATCCAGTTCTTACATCTGATACTGAAAATGCTACACCAGCAATTAATTTAGAAAAAAGACAAACTGATGAAAAAGATATTGAAAATTTTCTCCTAGAGGTTAATCAATCTAATAATATAAATGACCAGAGAAACATATGTAAAAAATCTAAAATTGCAATTACCAAAAATGCTATAACATCAGCATACAAATTAAATGAAAAATTGAAGACAATTTGTGCTGAACTTAAGAATAATCAACATTTAGCAGAAGAAGAATGGCAACAAAAAATAAGTATTTGTAATGCAGCAAAAGAAGAAATTATTAAATTATTAGAGCCTATTAGAGATCAAAATTTTTTAAATCAGTTAAAAAAAGATTTGGAAAGACGAAGAAAAAAGAGATCAAGAGAAAAAATTAAAAAGGAGAAATGGAAGAATGACAAACTAATGAAAATGGAAAGAAGAGCAAGAATGCATGCACAGATTGATTCATGGATATGGAAAGAACAAGCTGTAATAGAGAAAGAAAAACAAGAAGAAAATTTACGTAAAGATGCTGATATGATTTTATTTGATGTTAGAGGAAAGAGAAGTGATGCTAGGAAGTATCTTGGATTGTTACAAGAATTACAGAATTTGCGAAATATTAAGGCCAATATTGCCAGAGCAAGAGGGGAACATTTATCTTCAGCAGCTGATAAAGCATTTAACAATATTATTGGTATTGATACTTTTAAATATTCATTTGTAAAAAATATTTTAATAATTATATTTAATAATTATATCACATTACTTTTTATACACAGCAAAATTAACAGAACAATGGTCAATGCTTGATCGTGAATATTCTATAGAAGAACAAGGTTTGAAATTAATGTTAAAAAAAGATAATGAAGAAAGAAATGAAAAACAAAAGAAGAATCTTTTTGATGAATGGGAAAAGATACTATTTGGAAGAAAAATAATACCTGATCAATACAATACGGATTTAACTAACTTTGTTACTATAAGGTAAATATGATAATATTACTAAATAATTTTTTATAGTAACAATATAATTTAATAAGTAATATAATTACTGTTTCTAGGACTGCTTGGGATAAGTATATCAGTACAGACCGTGATGCATCAGCAATACCAATTGGTTGGGTCATGCCTGAGAAACCATCCTCTGCGGCCTGGCAAAAATGCCTCAAAAAAGAAGTTTCATAAAATAAGCTAATATACTACTGTAGATTCTAGTTTATGAAAATAAGTAAAATTTGATACACACCTTAGTAATTTATACTGTATGAATATAAACGGCATGCATTATACACATTTGAATGTAATGTAATTTAAGAAACATAAAAGCTTCTCTGGTCTACTGTATTTAAAACATTTATATTTACAATTAAGCATATTATGATTTAAACATTTCTAGAATTGAAAGTATGTGACATATTTCAATTTTATTAAAGTATGTATGAAAACTATGTACAGATTTTTTATGATATCCAAAAGAATAAATTAATTTATATTCAGGTAATACTTAAAATTAAATTTTTTTGAGCTGCACTTGATGGTTCTAAACTTTGAACATCTTTTACTGGAGCAGGAGATACAGTTTCTGCAGCAGATAATATCATATCTAATTTTCCTTGCAATTCTGATAATGATAATATTAAATTTTCTTCTTCTTCTAACTTTGCTGCTAAGATACTGCACATTTTTCGAGGTTCTGCCGCAAGTTCGTCTAAATGATTTTCATAGACATCTATTAAAAAATCGAATCATTTAGATAAACTATATTTCTTATAAATAAATACCAAACATTAAATGCAAAAAAAAATAATTTACAGCATACCCATAAATACATTAGCTACATGAAGTAGTACTCTTCCAAATCTAATACTTCCTATGTATTTATTCAAGAACTTAAGAATATTCACAAGAGATTTGCCATCTCTGCCACTAAGAGCTTGTTTTAAACCTTGTCTTCTAATAAGCTCCTGCATAAGTGCAACTGTAACATGTGGTGCTTTATTTACTACATAACTCATCATAACACAATCCAAAGCTTTCGAATATTCAAACTTTCTTAAATAAGTATCATGTTTGGACATAATTTCTTTCATTTCTTCATGTACAACAATATCTGTTTGAGGTGTATGTAAATTTTTTCCAGAATTTCTGTATGATACTTTTTTACGTTGTGGTTTCTCAGTTTTTACTTCTTCTTCTCTTCTTCTCACAGAAATTAAACCATCAACCATACCAGCTACTATGGTTTCATCATTTGACTGTAATTACATATGTTATTCAGTATTCTTGATATACAAATAGAAATACAAAATAAGGCAATGTCATTTACATTAATTCCTATGCTAAGAACTGAATTTGGATAATCTAAGGAATGGACAGTTTTATATGTTCCAGAGTCATAAATTTTTACATGTCTATCTAATGAACCAGATAAAATTCTGTGCCCATTTGAAGCTATTTTTAAACATGTTACTGTTTTGTGATGTTGAGTGATTTTTGCAAGTAATCTGCCACCAGCAAGTGCATCCCAAACTTTAATTTCTGTTCCACCTGTTTATAATTACAAAAAATATTGTGTTTAAACTTATATCAAACATTATTATAGAAAAAAATATTGTTACTTTAAAGTAATATACCTGCAGATAGAAATATTCCGCCAGAGGGTAAGAACAATAAGCTTTCGACAGGAGCTTCATGGCACACACTGAGAATTTTTTTGCTTGTTCGTGTATCATACATGTGTATAAGTTTATCATAGCTACCAGATAATAATATGTCTTTAGAAATGGGACTTACTACACCTGCTCTGATATAATCTAAATGTTCATTAAAAGATATTACTTGTTTTTCACTAGCTATATCCCAAACTATCACAGTTTTGTCATCAGAAAATGAAGCAATATGAAGATTATCTGCAGTGAAAAATGTTCTATGTATAGCAGATTTATGTCCAGAGAAAATTCGAAGAAGGCTTTTTGTGTTGATATCAAAGAGCCGAACTACTGCTTCTTCACCACCAGCACAAAGTAATTTGCCATCACTACGAAAGGATCCACCATAAGCAGCTTCTTTAAATCTGCTAAAATTTTTTGTAACTAACTTTGTAATTGGATTATACACTTGTACTCTCACAGAACAAGTGACAGCGAAATAATGTGGTTCTACTGGTGAAAAATCAATATAATCAATTGGTCCAAATTCCTTAACTAGGACAGGCGCCTATTAAATAAATAACATAAAAATATATTTATAAATATTAATTTCATAACGATTTTAAATACTGTTTGTTTAGGTTAAGTTTTATACACGTGGATATCATGAATTAAATAATACAATATGATTGCAGAAAAATTTAAATTATTTCTATCGACTACACTAATATACTTACACTATATTTTTTCCAATATATATTATCTGGAGTTAATTCAGACCCCGATCTTACAAATACCTTAGTATTTATTTTCTTGAAGGACGCCATTTCTTTCAAAATGTCAGCTGTAATAAAATTCAGTAGAGGGGGTAAACTTCTCCTGTTGACAATTGATAGAAGTTACTCTCTTCGATTTTTGTGATTGTCAAGAATCTGTTTATGTATTACAGTTATTAAATACAAAAACTCCTGAAAATCATTTTAGAAGAATTTGAAACGATATGTTTAGAAGATTTCAGTGTGCTTTGTTAAATTTTCTATGGTTTTGCTGTTCGTTTCAATATGGCGATGGTTAGTTGCTTAGTGCTTCAAAGGTCTCTTTGCTTATCATGAATTTTGTGAATTTTCTTTCTATTTCTTTGTATAATTTAAATACAAAACCCTGATGTTTATATTATTATCTGTAAGTGCATTCAAGTTATATAATTGTGAAGCTCTGTATCTGATAAAGAAAGGATTTCATTCGAAAAGTTTCGCTTAGACAGCACGATAGATTCGGCAATTGCCGTCCAACTAAGGTTTGTTATATTTCATAAATAATCACAAAAATCTAAATATTTATAAATATACCTTGCAACCTTCGAGATCAAAAATCTTTTATTATACTAAGAAATAAGGAAAGAATTTGAAGTTTGATTTTGTTCCAGTAAGAGAAGATAAGATTGCAGCCAAGATAGTTTCTTGGTATTTCATTGCATACCAACCACGTTTATAAATATATTACACCAGAAGAGATTGGAATTTCCTTTATCAGTGTTGGATATTTATTTTGGATACTTTGATTTTCCAATACTGTTTGAAGGAGTTTATTGATCATTACAATGATCGTATTAGTGCATAAATATAAACAAGTTAGTTCCTTTTTGGAAGTCAAACAAAGAAAGTTTGGCTTTGCTTATAATGACAGAAACATGTATTTATGTTCCATCTAGATAGAACAATTTAATTGGGATATAATAATCAAAGATATTTAAAATAATATTTTTGAGGCTATATTCTTAAAAATAGTCTCAAATATTATATAGACAAGGGTAATTGCAATAAATTACCAAATAAATTTTATATGCAGCAACATTTAAGTATTCTAATATACATTAATTATTAAATTATAAAATTTGAATATAATGGCTGAAACCCAGCGAATGACTGTTTATGGTAGACATCCTCCCTGTGCTAGTGGAGCTCGTTTAGAAGAACGTCGTGCTAGAAGGTAATTCATAAAAAATATTATGTTAGACAATATTTAGAAAACTTTCATTGTATTTTATATTATAAATTATTTTTTTATCTAATTCTTATTATATAAAGTTAAAAATAGAATTTTTTGTTTTTAGATTAGCCTTAAGGTTAGAAAGAAATCGAAAGTCAGATAAACCAGATGATTTTATTTGTTATGAATCAAGTGATGATGAAGCAGAAACTGTAAGCGAAGGAAAACAATTTTTAAGAACTTCGTTTAATTTTGTGGATTATGTACGTGCAAGGGAAACAAACACAAGAGAAGTGAGAAAAATTAATCAAGAATATGGATTTCGACACATATTAACTCATGATTTATTTAAAGAATATTCGGTTAGCTTAAATAATATGAATAAAGTTTTTTGTTCTCAATGGTTAAGTGATAGGCAAGTAGTATTTGGTACAAAATGCAACAAATTGATGGTTTATGACGTAGCAACACAGAAATTAGACCAAATACCATCTCTACATGGAAGGCAAATTAATTCAGGGAGCGGTGTTGTTCCTGAGCAGTGTGGTATACATTCTGTTCAAATCAATCCTTCCAGGTACATAAATTAAAATCTTTAATTTAAAATTCATTATTATGTTTTTACAATTTATAATTTTGTATATATTACAGAACTCTCCTATCAACTGGAGCAAGAAGTAGCAATGAAATAGCAATATATAGGCTACCAACATTAGATCCAGTTTGTGTAGGAGAAGGTGGTCATAGAGATTGGATTTTTGATATGTGTTGGTTAGATGACGAATTTTTAGTTTCTGGTTCTAGAGATACCAAACTGGCTTTATGGCGTATAGATAATGATCTTGCTGAAGCTCCCGATAAAGTAGATGTGCCAACACACAGGTTGCATTACTTAAAATACAAATATCAAATATATTTTGTAAATATATTACAGTATTTCTTTTTTTTCACTAGGTTGATTCAACCTATATGTGTTAAAGAATGTAGATCTGCACAAAAAGTACGAGCTCTCGTTTTCAATAGAATGTACAAAGAAATCGCAGCTATTACTTTGAATAGCTTCATACACATATGGTCTGCTGAAACTTTTAGACAAAAGATATCTAGAAAACTACCAGTTTGCCAAGAAAATGTTTGCCTTGCTGTTCAAGATGACGGTGTATACGCCGTAGGATGTCGTTCTTACACTTTACTTTTGGATGCAAGAACTGTACAACCTGTAAAAAGAATACTTTCACGGTATGTAACATTTTTTAATCCGTTTAAATGTTTAGAAACTTGTAATTTTCACAAATTACACTAGATCATATTATATCTTCTACAGGTATAGTGGTTGCGGAATTCGATCAGTTAGCTTTCAAGGTTCTGTTTTAACAATTGGAACAGGCTTAGGAATGATGTTCTTTTATGATGTCAGGGCACAAAAGTATCTTGAATCTTCAATTAACTCTAACAGAACTGTTGTATTAAAAGCATCAAAAGGATATGTGGTATGTTCGAAGATTTTTCTTTTTTATATTAAGGATCTACAAATATCTAAAAATATTAGACTAGAATTTTTCAGAATCGAGTCAGAATTCTGAAAGTATCTTGCAACATATGAAATACCAATTTCTTGATATTTCATATCGATCCTATATTTCATGCAACTGATATATATTTTAGGGCAAACGTTGTTTAATATATTCAGAAATCAGTGTTTTTAAACATTAAATTGTTTTTGAATTTATATTAAAGCATGATTTAAATAATTTATAATATATAACAATCTCTAATCTAAATAGTTTATAGTTACATCGAAAAAAGTACGTCTTGATATATGATTCATGTATCGCAAATTTCTATACTTTTATATCGAAAGATATTTTTAGAATCCTGATGCAATTGAAACATCTTGTATTCATAATCTTAGATTCTTGCATATTTTTTATATATGTGTATGTAAGCAATTACTTTTGTACAAATAATATTCACTTTTACGGTAATTTTAGTTTCCTGACGAAGAGTACATCGATGGATTTCAGAATGTAAAGTATACACCTGCTATATATACTCATTGCTACGATGGATCGGGAACTCGATTATTCGCCGCTGGTGGACCTCTTCCCATAAATCTTTATGGTAACTATGCAGGATTATGGCAATAAAATTAATTTTAATTAAATTAAAGAATCGCATCGATTTTTACGTAAGTAATTATAAGTTGTACATTTAACTAAACATTATTAAAATTTTATCTGAGGAGGTATATACACCTATTCTAGAATTAAGAAACATTTTCTGGTCACTATCATCTTGTATTTCATGTTTGCATATTTTCACGTTTCTTTCAATTTTATTACCAATGAAACTAAGAAAACAATTTTATTTAGATATTAAAATTTTAAGATAACAATATACACTTTTCAAAGATTTTTATACTTTATGAATAAATGCTGTAATGACAAAAATATTTTATAATTAAAGGTGTATATATCTCGATTGCCTGAAGGAATACGTGATAAAAATAAGAATATTAGATTTTCCATCATTTAAATCGTATATTTAACTTGGAAAGTGATTTTTATTGAGCAGTTTCATATTACTACCCAATTATATCAACATGTTTGTATGCAGTGTGGAAAGAGCCAAATTTAATGTATTAAAACTATTATTGTATATTTAAAACCAATATGTGGCAAATGTTAATTTTATGATTGACGTGAGTTATGAGTTTATTACCAACTTTTTTGTAAAATTGTTAAGATAATTTCATTCATCTCTTATTATACAATTTTGCTCTAGTATTATTTATTATATGTGAAATTCAACAAACGATTGAATGAAGATCTTTCATAATAAATTTTGAAAAAAAGCATTTCATTATATCATCTGCATACAGTGTGATTTCTAAAATCATTCTTATAATCTATATGTACATTTTTGCATCAATCCCATAGGAATAAAAATTAAAAAAAAAAAAATAATCAACGAATGACACTGCAATGAACATTAAGTTTCCCAGATGCAATTTATCGAGTTGAAATTTTAATACTGGCCTTAGTAGAACAATATACAATGAATATTTGTTACAAAAAATTTATTTTAGAAGAACAATATCTATTAAAGCCTTCATAATGTATTTCTGTATTACATAGTAGAATGTCAAACATATATAATTTTGGTCAATGCATGAATTATAAAGCAATATTTTATGAGTGTGCATGGCAATTGTTAATGTTTTGTTAAATCAAAAGTTTAAAAAGTCTATTCAGTTTATCAACCTTTAAATATTAATTTTTCTTTTTAATAATCTCTTTTCGTTATTATTGTAAATATAAAATGTTAATTCTATTAATTGTAATAATTCATATTTGACATATATAAAAACACAATATAAATATTTTAAATTATAACTGCTCAAATTTGGTCAAATTGAATATTCATATGTTACACAACTTTATGATACTAAAGTATTAAAGATCGTCAGCTGTGCACATTTGCGATCAAAAATAATAATACACAACCTTTGATTATTCAAATGTATTCTTTATATACGATTCAAACAATTTATTTCAACAAATGTATCTTTGATGAATGAAGTATTATTGTAATGACATTAATCGTGCAAAACTGTTTCACCGATTTCTTTAAACAAATTTATATTTGATTTTTTAAATTAATCATACTCGAATTTTGGTGTACTTAAGTGGTCAAATAAGTTCACCATTATATTTGTCACTGTCTTATGTATTAAATCCGTTGATGCGGTAAAAGGATGCAAGTGCATTTTCAATACTTAGGATAGAACATTTTAATGGATCAAGAAATTGTTGACATATAAACAATAAGTAACTGAATTATTAGTATATCACTATGAATATATGATAACAAACTATATTCTGTGTGCTTTTACATTAACAGATTATAAATTGTTGGCATATACTCATAAAATCTCATTGCATTACATAATAAATAAAAATGTGTGTTGTATCTACAAATTCATGATTAGACTGTATGAACATGTATATGATCATGCATAATGAACAAATACATTGAATACATTTTAACACGATTATTGAAAAAGTTTTGTACAGGTACAATCACTGCATTACTGTATCAGAAAACATCTTTTCCTGTTTATTATAAGAACATTACAAAAACTTTTTGTGACAAAATTATAATACATTAGTATGACTTTGAAATAATTGTCCTTGTATTTCTTAACAATTTCCTTTAAAGTTTTTCTTTTTGTGAAATGTATTACATGTATAATGTATTTCTCTTTTGTATTATAAGATTATATTTAAGATTGTCAGATATTATTCAGTATGTTGTGTTCTTTTCAAATCTGTAGCAAAATGTTCTTTCAAAAATTATTTGTCACTCATGTTAAGAATATACGGACAATACATAAATTAATTATGACATCTAAATTTTGTTTTAAAAATTACGTCCTTTATTGTTAGAAAAATATCCAGTGCAATTAATATATGTATAGAAATTTCTCATAAATTACAACAAGATTATTCTTGTTGTATCTGTTTTTAATTAAAGTATTGTAACGATTTTAAGCAAATATATACATTTTGCTAGAATCAATTACAACTCGGAGCTCCCTTATTTCTGTATTTTTATTTGATATTTCAAATGTTAAATATTTCATTTAGGCAGTGCTATTTGATTGGTGAACAAACTGCACTAATTTTATGTTTGTGCGTGCGTGTGTGTGCGTTAAGTAATCCATGTAAATAAATATATCAACTATTAATCATAATTGCGTTTATCAGTTTTTCTTCTTTGGTTAATATAGAAGAAGTGAATATCAAGAAAAAGAGAGATTCGTCTCATTACAAATAATTTATTAATGGTATATCAATACAAGATTTTTATTTCATTTATAATCATCACAAATAACGTGTAAAGAGTGTATAATGCATACAAAACACGCGACACTGCGACATACTTGTAGTACATGTGATGTAAATGTTTTTCAATTCAATTACCGAGGCTTAGCCATGACTATATTAGATATGTTGTGTTTATTATGTGTGTTGAAAATGTTCAGAGGCGCACAATACGAGTAAACGCGGAGGGCAACCCATTTGTATAGATATACCCGTCGATATGTTGAAGTATAACTCTTTGATGAGTGGAAGATTATACCTCCAAAGGGATATTTTAGAGCACATACCTCTATTAGTGCGTTCTTGGCGGTGATAAATTGCTTCTTTTTACGCGCTATTCTGTCGGGATTAACGGAATTATTTCTACCGTCATTTACTACGAACCCATTTTCGGGCATAAATAAGCTCATTTCTTTTTTTGGTATAGATTGACAGTTAGTATCCTAACGCACAAGTGTCGTAAATAAATATACACTGATCGTAACAATATACATTCTGAAAATAAATAGAGTATTTCACAATTATTGCATACATTGGTGAGCACTACTGTGTGAAATCGATCTCACGGGGAATGTCATATCTTAAAAGCGTTTCCCTCATGTCGAAAACATATTCATCATTATTTTATCTTATACAGGCGATCATAAGTAACTGGTATCACACATACACGTGGACTTTCATTTTTTTGTTTCTTTTTTTCTTTCTCGGTTCCTTTCTTTTCTCAAAAAATAATCGGAGGAAAGTTATTATCTTCTTATTTTAGCAAATACGTAATTTTCGCTTGTGCTCCGCAGTGGTCGCGAAAATGTAGTCGCATTTAAAAAGGAATCAAAGATGCCCAGCATCTAAGGCCTTATTTATATCACTAACTAACATCCCAAGAATAGGTCTATGTTCTGAATCTTGCCTAAAAACAGAATCTAAAAATTCAGAGTATGTTAAAAAGTCGAACACTTGATCGCACCGATCTTGAGATTTATCTGTAAGATGTGGCTTTATAAGTGCCTGTATCGCAGTTCTACATCGTTCTAATGACTTTATTAAGTACACTCTATCGAAACTGAATTCTAGTTCATAAAACGAAACCACAGACATTGCAACGGCTCTAAGAGCAGTTCTTATTTCGGCAAGTTTTGCATCATCAGCGACATTTAATTGTTGATTACGCTGTAGAAGACCGACCTAAAATAAAAGTATTTAATGAACATGGATTCACTTGGCGTTATTAAGAAAAAATGCAATTACTTTGCATATTTATAACAACAATTATCGAAGAAGATACAAGTACCTTAATGGACAATTTAACGATATTCTTTAAAACCTTTTCTGGTTGCTTCTTGTCTAAACTAGGATTGGTTTTCGCGGCTCTTTCCATGAGTTTATAAAGATTGTCCAGAAGTGACGTAGTGGCGTCATCTATCAGCAACGATCTTCCGGCCCCTGTAGATACAACTCTGCCGAGAAGTTTTTTTTGCGCTCGAAGACCTAAATCACGAGCGCGGCTTCCGGTGCCTCCGGCGGGATAAGATCCGCCGTTCAATGTAGTCGCCGACTGCATCACTAGGGGAAAAAATTGCAAGCGCTGTACCATCTGCTTTGCGAGATATGGGGTTGAATAATGGTCCTTTTGTTGGGTAAAAAGATCGACTTGTGCAAATGTTATACAGGGTGTATTACAAATTTTATACATAAATAATTACGCTTAAATAGGAGTTTATAAAATTTGTAAAAATGTCAATAAAATAATCCTATATTGTAATAAGTACTGATTAGTAATACGTTAAACCATAAGTAGATATTAATACAGCATGTTTGTCTACATATGTATATGACTTTATTTCTCCTTTTAACCCATAATATTTGTATTAGAAATTTTCAAACTTTTAATATATCTTGCATTAATCTGCACTTATCCTAGTTGAAATAACAAAAAGTAAAATATCTTATTAATTTATCAAGATGAAAATTGTGAAAATAATAGTATGTATAATGTGCGTGTGATCAGAACTTACCATCAAACATTGGTAGACCGCTGTTTCCTCTAGGCGATAACGGGATTGTGAATGAAATAAAGAAGTGTTCTGTGAGCACACGGTTGAAACTCAGGCAAAAGTAACTAAAATAAGCAAGGACGTAAAATGAACAATGTTCGACACAAAATATATATATATATATAAAAAAGAAATTAAATGGACAACATAGAACGATGTTGCGCGACGTGCAAATGCGACTCGTTCGTGTTTGTGTTCTTGTTCGTGGGAACGAATCAGAGCATCATACAGTTAACATTTGTGTACCTTGATTGCAGTCGGTTACGGCTACAAGATGATAGAGCAGCCAGCTCTGCAATTCCATTACTGCCGTACCCCACGCCACCTGAAAAAATACATTTTAGTATGTTTTATACAAAAGTAGACAAAAATTAGATATAAAAATTTATTTTCTCTTTGCTTTAATTACTTTTGTAGAGAAAATAAGTTATACATTTATTTTTTAAATTCTGATGTATTTTTTATTATTTTTATGATGAAAATATATTTTGAATTTTATTAATAATCATAGGACTTTGAAACGGTGAGAAAATGTGAGATGTATGAACATTATTTTTAGTACAATGTTGGAACATTATTATTATTTATTCTATTATTCGATTAGTTCTACTTCCAAAGCAACGTTAATGTATTCCGTACTGCGCATATTTTCGACCACCCACCATGTTTGATAAGAATAAAACTATCTAAATAAATAGAGATAATATTTAGTTTTATATAAAAATCGAATACAAACTACAAGATAAGCTTAAATACAATTATGGATACACGACTGAATATTGCAAAATAGTTTTAAAAGATTTTTTAAATTTTATACAAATTTTCAATATTCACGTACCTTTGTATGTATTCAAATTTAAATTTAATAAAAAGTAATTTTATTTGCAAAATATGATAATTAAACATTATATCAATGTAAAATGCCTATAGTGCGTTCAACATTAATATTGAACATATTCAGTGTAATTGTGAGGATCCTGCGAATAAACTAGGTATCCTTGTTTTTCAATTATGTCCGTAAAATTTCACCGTTAGGCTCCACTTCTTTACCCCAGAACAAATTAAATTACCATTACAAAGTAACTAAAAAAGAAATAAATAAATAAAAAGATCGGCGTAAGTCTGTGGCGGGTAAAAGATTAAATAGGTTGGGGCACACATGCTCTTTCATTCGTGTAATTTATGTCAGTAACTGAGGTCAAACTCGATACACTGGAAATGGAACGTAATGTGCGTTGTGGTTTGTTGTCACGAGGTATAATTGTATATGTGCACACACATATACACATATCTCGGAAAGGTATAGTCGTATGGAAGTTGGATCGATTTGTAAGGAGCGTCAAGGCAAGCCAGAGACTCTCATTCTCGTTTGGCGACGTAATAGGGGCAAATGGATGCGCGCGACAGAACACTACTACTTAGCTTCGATACAGTCAAGGTGGTGTATGTATTTTGAGAACGTGACGAATATCGATATCGGTTAAGTGTTTGAATATCTCAAAATTTGCTGCTATTTGACCCGAATGCGAACCTTCAAGGATCTTCGATATTCGAGCGATCTCGTACTACTCAAGAACGTCCGAAGCGCTTTCCAACGTACTCGAGATATCGAAACCGTGGAAATACCCCTGCATATTCAGATCTATCGTCGCAAGAATCGTTTAAATCAATCGAGATGTCAGGTCGACCGCGAAACGTAGAAGAATCGAACGAAATTGTTGCACGCTTCTTACCTAGTGATATTGTTAATTTAGGACAAAATATTGTTTGGTTATGTATTGTAACTGTTATATTGTATTTAATTATTTAATTATATTGTAATATTACTTAATTATACGAGAGATATTAAATGAAAATACACAATTGAAACAAGTAAAATAATTGTGTGGATAATAAAATGCATTTTGAAAGAATATTTGCATGAAATATATCGAATAAGACTGCACGAAAATATAATAATTTTAACGAAGTTTTACTTGAAGAACTCATTCAAATACTTAAGAATGCGGAGGTGGAGGTAAAATCATTGAATTTATTAGAACTAACTGATATAATTAGAATAAAATTAAAATTATATCATCTATTTTGACAGACATCACATTCATTTGATAATAGATTATGCCACATGGAGAGCCCTTAAAACGTATCCTAACTCATCTGTGCCACTTTTGAAATCCAAAATCTTTCATATTACTATCCAACAATCCGATAAGCCAGGATTAGTATATAATTCGAAAGTATGAATTCGAGGATTAAAATGCTACATATTGGAAAAATAAAGGTTTTACAAGAAAGAGATCCGAAATATTTTTTGGATGATGCAAATATCTATTATAATATTGAACATGTGATACATGTATGTATTACTTAAAAATTATCTACATTATTTAAGAAAAATTTATATTTTTATTATAAATTTCAGAAGATTATGCATTATTAGGAATTTTTCTATGTGAAAAAGTTATTTAAATAATTTTAACCAAATTTTCCCATCTAAACAATAATTTAAATAATTTATGGGTAAGTTTTTAATTATTCAAATAATTATGAATAACCTTAAATTGATGTTTTATACCTTTGAAAATAAGGTATATTAAGCAGCACTCAATACTTGAGAGACATGAACTGTTTTCATTTGTTATATAAACATGAAATTAAATTCAAGCTGTAAGAGGTTTTAATTGGTGTATTATCTATCGTACTGGGGGACACGCTTAAGTCGCATGAGAAAACAAGTGATCAATCGCTCAGAGGACTTTCGCTCTCTGCTCGACCGTTTTCTAACTACAATAGGTCGAGTTACTACGCGCACCAATTAGTCGTTTGTCGAGCATCCATATCCATATTCAGCATTTTATTCGTTAATTAGCATCGACGAATTTTTAAATTTCCTGCTTTTTCCTACGTGTTCTATAAATTCTTTCATCAATAACAAACTACTTTGGTTTGACAATAAGATTTCTGTAATTGGATTACATTTTCTAAAGTGATCCACTTTCTTTTATTTAAATAGCGCCCCCAAAAGGAGAGAAAACTACGTTCTTCGTAATAATTTTCTGGATTTTAAATTCCATTTATTCACACATTTATTTGCACAATATTGCCATAACCTATTCTTGGTTAATATATTGTTCAATATATTAACTTATTATTTAATATATGAACTTTTTTTAAACAAATCTTAGAAAATACGATTGCATAAAAAGGATCAAGAAGTATAATATGGAGTGAAATTTACAACTTCCGACGGTAGTTTAGAAACAGGTCAAGATCCTATTCTGATCTTTATCTGTGTGAGATTATCCGTACTGTGGAATTTTCTGTAATTCCATTTTCTTCCACTTGAACATTAAATATATAACATATTTCCTTCTGTTAAACATAGTGAGTCACTGGTGACTAATGCATTTATGAACTGTTAACTTAGTGACTACGACCTACAATCGAGATTACTCAAACGATAAATAATATACTACACTATTACTGAAATGAAGCTTACTAAACAACACGAATTAATATGTTCCAATTATTGTTTTTTTTTAAATATAATTTTTATTTTAGAAAATTACTATTATTTTATTAATGTATTTAAAATATTTAAACAACAAAAGTCCTTATATTGGTTTTGTCAAGTTTTTTATCACTAATATGTGACATATTTATATTTTTATGTTCTAGGTAAAATGATATAAAATAAAAATAACTTTGAAGAAAAATTAAAAAATGAATGTAAACAGATTAAAACACAGGTATATTTCCAAGCAAACTGGAAGTTCGTCATTTCTATACTTAGTTAACTACCTCGTATTATCGCGATATGCTGAAGGATACAACTAACGAACTACACATTCTTCAATATATATATGCAAATCTATTTTTCAACGTAAGAATATACACATGTCATGTGTGCACGCGACGATCCTGTTCCTTGTTTGCACGCAAGTCAAACTTTACATATAATCTTTTCGCATTGCGTCGTATTTAGCAAATTTAGATATATAAAACAAATTTTGCATACGACCAAATGTGGCAAACTAAAAAATTATATTAATACAAGATAACCAGGTAAAGAAACTCAATAATAAATTTTGTACTGCCTAACGAAGGAAACGATTCATTTTTATATTAATAAATAATATTTCTTTTTTCTTAGTTCATCATTATTATTCTTCAATAATATCAGTAAACAATTTCCATTTATAACCTCTTTAATAATATTATTTCCAAATGTTTGCAACTTTAAAACACTGACATTTTCATTACGCTAATTTAAAGCAGAGATATTTTTTATTTCTATTATATTATTCAATGAGTAAACTTAAAGAATTTTTTAATTTGAAACAAAGCATGTAGAAATAATAAACCTGGTTCAGTTTGTTTGCTCGACAGTTCGGAAAAAAGAAATTGTCGCTACCCTCATCAACTGATTTTAGAGCGGAAGTAATGTGTCACTCTTTCGTCATAAGCTATGATAACAGTGTCATCTGCAGTTAAACTTACGAAACTAAGGGATTTCCCTGTTGCATGGTGTCATATGAAAATAATCAATCTTGAATCTTCAATGTTGGCTTATATTGTCAATAATTCAATCTATCAAACTGTCGCTAGCATCGCCAGAGGATTTCAAAGCAAAACTAACCTAGTATCCTTTTGATATTATACATTTAACTAAATTAATGAAATTAAGAAATTGCTCTGTCAGAAAACATCGCGTAAAGATACAAAATCAAAGTTTATTTCGATTTCCTTTTGTCAACAGTTGGAAGTAACAATCGTCAAACGATTTCAAATCGAAAACCAATCTTCAGCCTCTCCCCACCTCTTAATTTCTTTAACGTTTTTCTTTTTACTTCGAAAGATGCAGCTGTCACACCGACAGCTGTGCAACTGGCACGAACCTCCTTGTTAAACTGAGCATCTTGTCTGAGAATATACCTACCACCTGCCCTTCGATCGATGTGTACAGCTGCACGTATGTGGATAAACGCACATATCGTATACAACGCGATGCGCACGTGCTCACACGGACAGAGTTACGAGACGGATTATGCTCTGTCCACAAAGGTCACGCGTTCGTCTGTTAAATACGACTTTCGAAAGGTCTACGTTTTTACTGGTCGCCTGTAGCTGTCGTTTTTTGGATATCGATTCCACCGCGCATAGCGATTGCACATGCGAGATTCTCGCACTGAACGTATCCGATTTCAACTTTTAATCGCAGCCCGCGAGTGAAGCTGTCTACGATTGTAATCTCCTCTCGATTTTATCGAACACAAAATTATGTTCTCATACTATCGATCCTTTACGATATTCACAAGTATACGATTTAATGTACAAATATATAAGGAGAATATTCTTATTTTAATTCTTTAAATCATATCTATTTTAAAATAATTTTAAATAGAATTAAATAATGTACACAATTGTTATATTAATGTAAAATCTATTCAAATTGTTTTATTTTATGTTTATTTATACACCGATAATCGAAACAGGTAAACCAAGTATTAAAATCAAAGAAATATTATGGAATATATAAAAACATTTAGTACTCAAATATTTTAGGGTACGAAAATCTACAAAATGTAGAAAATGAAAAGGAAATGGCAAAATTTATGGTGTATCCTTCACAGTTCTAGGAACATATTTTCGTCACTATCTTTGTTTTGAACAGGTAGCTTATTCAAGGTCGAAGATACAGTTGTCTCTAGGCGTGGTATAGCAATGAAATTTCAAGATACAACAACCTGTCGCACAAGCTAACATAAATAACTCCCTTATACCGAACATTCACAATTACTCTAATCACTTCGTAATATTAAGTAAAGTTTGAATTGTTTTAGCCGATTCAAAATGGATGAAACGTATATGCGTGTAAATATATAATCCAGACAAGTTGATTGAACGAAATGATGTGAATTAATTAAGTACCACAAATAAAATTCGTGTAATTTTGTGACGAGTGTTCACATTAGACAAATTCTTTCGGATGAAAATGACTAATGAAAAAGCAGTCTACAATTCTACAGGTAATTAGAAATAGTTTAGTGTACACCCGTTGTATAAGTCCATTCATTGCATGATCATTCGTTAAGGTTACCCATTTACAGTCCCATATTCCGTGGACAGACAAATGCGCGATTTACATCAGGTCAAAAAAATGTTTACCCCATATTTCTATCTCCCTTTTCTGTTTGCTTTCAGATATGCGTGACCGCGTGGATGAAAATCATGCACTGTGGAAAATTTTACGCTATGCCGATAATCGATTAATTCACGATACCTCGTAAAGGCTTTGTCCGCTATTTTCTAAATATACACACCGATATGTTTTTATATTACTTTATTACTCTATTGATATCCATCACTTTCACAATGACAAATGCACATGTAAGGAATTAAGTTACACGCATCCGTTCGGCCATGACTAAGTGACGCAATTAAGCGAACTCGTCGGTTTTGCGAAATTCAGTTTCCATCGTGTTACGTACTTTCCTTTTCATAAGACTCCATGTCATGTTGAGAATACCGTTACAAGATCTATTCGCTTTTCCGTCTCGATGAGTTTAATAATAATTACGGTTTTAACAAGCTTTTATTTATCACTAAGTACACATCTATTATTGTACTGTGAATTTTTTTGTCCTTCTTGTTTTGATAAAAGTTAACTTTGCGATATCACTATTTGCTTTTAATAACTTAACGAGATAAAAATGAATGTAAGAATAAATTAATATTTTAAACAAAACTAATTAAAAAACGAAATATTTGCGTAAGATTATATTTTCCAGTAAAAAATGACATTTTAAAGATAAATTTTATATTGAACGAATTCTCTTCGATCACGCGTACTTATCCGACGGTAAATGCTTACGTTCTGAATTGCACTCAAATGATCGTTAAATGATTCCATTCACAACAGAAGACAAATAGTTTCATCCGTAATAAATTAATTTAAATTTTAGGCGCGCACTAACCTCTGCTGATATCTGGGTCGCGAATGCGACCCCAACACTTGACAATGAAGTTTTTCTTTTCCAGCGACCGTAGGATAGATATTATCCTATTATTTTGTTTGCGTTCCACTTCGTTCTCGTGTGTGTAGAAAATTCCACTGATATGGTAAGGCTTTCAAAATATTTGATCAAATTAAATGTAATTGAACACAATACACAAGAATGCGAAAAAAAACGAGAAACTACACCGGTAACGATAAGACACGCTGTTCTCGAATCTCACAGTATCTTCGAACGAACGAACGAACGAATGTCGTCTGTTGTGGTCTGCGAACCCACCCCGGTTACCATGGAACCATCGCTCCGCGAGGTGGGGCGCATGTGGCAGCTACGCTCGGGCAACTTCGCAGTGTCAAGGAGTTTTCTTCTTCACAGTACGCGCTCATTCATTGACGAGGTTGTTGTGAATACGAAAGAACGAAATATGGCTACGCACCTTTCCAATTTAACGGTAGCAAAATTCTTTCTTATGTAAAAGTTATGTTTATTCAATACTACTATGTACCTTTACTATTTTAGTTTCAGAAGAAGTGGAAATATATAGCTCACTGAATTTTTCTTATGATGAAGGGTATCAATTAGAAACAATTATAAATATTTTTGTTGCTTTTATTTTTAAAATTTCTATATAATGCCATTTTAAGAAGCATTTGAATTATGCTATTGGGTTTCCTTTTACTTCCAGTGCTTTAGATACATGTTCAACAAGTGTCTTAATTGAAACAGAACGATTAATAACATATTTTCAAATTATAATATTCTTATTAATTGACATTTTTAGAATAATGATTCTAAGCACAGAGAAACTGTGACAACTGTACAAATAGAATCCATGATAAAATGCAAAACTGTTATTTTTCCTTCATACTTTAACTCTGTGCGTTTGATATGATATTCGATTTGCAAATACTTTACACGACTGTTAACTGCATTACCATACTTCATGTATTTTTAATAAATGTTTGTATGCTCGTTCAGAGATATTAAGAGCAACGTTCATTATGCATAAATCTGTCTCTCCTAAGAGGCTTAAACCACATATACCTAAAAGTGAAATATTCATATTACACGTTATTTTTATTCTGAACAAAATTTTGCAAATATTTTAAACGTTACATACCTAAATATGTATGAACAGGATCTGGTAAACAGTCAGCAAACTTTCCAAATCCTCCTCCAATAATATCTTGAGTGTCAAACAGGAATGCTCTATTCTCATCAGGATCTGACAATTTGTTAACATCAAGCATTTGTAGTGTGGCACCCACCCAAAAGCTATAACAAGTGTCAGATGGCTTTCCAGGTCGTCCATGAAAGCCACCGTCTTGCCTCATAAGACACCATCTTTTTAGTCTATTTAATTGATCATTTGTCAATACGTTATAAAGTTCATTCATAAGAAATAGACTAGCTACAGCACAATATGTAGATCCTCCATGTGATTCAAGACCAGGTCCTTGGCCTATTGCTCCATCATATGACTATAATCATTGTTGACATATTGTACTATGATAAAATTAAGTAGACAAGCTAAAATTTTTGTTGATATTCTTTATATGTAAAATAAAAATAAAACAAAATAAAAACTTACAATGCTTTTTACAATGTAGTCAATTGCTTTTGTCTTATCAATACCTGACCAATCTTTTAAAATTATAGATATACAACAAGCACAATAAAGAAATCTCATATCACTTTCACATCCTGTTATAATGGCTGTAAATGATCCATCGGAATTTTGACAAGCTCGCATTCCTTCAATAATGGATTCTCTATCAACTCGACTTAAATCATCTCCAAGAATTAAAAGGGTAACTAATCCAACATATGTCATTGTTAAATGACCATATCGATATTCTGTAGCATCCTTTGGTATTGTTGTAGATGGTTGAAAGCCAGATCTTGGTCCAGCTCCAGTTACTTGAAGCCTATAGATCCAGTCTATTGCCTCTAATTTTGTTTGTTCGCTAAGATCATTCAAACAATTCAATATATCTAGCCCTGATATAGCAAAAAATGCTACAGCAAGTCTAGAGTAATCAAATTCTGCTAAAAAATTAGGCACGATTTGTAATAACCTCTTGAAATATTTTGCATGGTTCTTCTTCGCTATCTGTGGTAGCATGTTGTATCGTGTCTTTGTATGATTAAAAAAAATGATACTTCAAATATATGTTGACGTATTGAAGAAGAGTGTTGCTTTTAAGTTTGTTGGGCGAGTGGAAAAAGATTCAATTAAAATTATGGTAAGACCTACTAGAGAGCGCTTCAATTCTGAACGATAGGTGTAGTTACTACTAGGGGGCGTCAAAAATAATTCGTTGAACGCACGCGTCACCGGCAAACTAGCCCTTTCTTGCGCACGCCGGACGTTCGCCGCAACACGCACCAGCCGCGAAAATTACACAAACTACATACTACCCCGGAAAGCGGAGATAACGAGAAATACGCAGTAAGTTAAGTTTCAATTAACCGTATACATCTGTCCGCTTCGTGAATACTTTCTCGCGGTAGTTTCTCTGGCTAGTACGGTAGCGCGTTGATTTGCGCGGAGGTAGTTTGTCGGAGGACGACGCAAGGTTCTCGTGGAAGCGGCCACTGAGGGCGCGGCATTCTTGCAATTGTTGCGCCCGGCTCCAACAGAATAACCAATAGGAGCCGCGGCAGCGCCGCCATTCTATCGAGTTCGTGGCACGCCCTACAACTTCCTCCATTGTCCTTCTTTCCGGGATTCTCTGCGAGGAAGGATGGCTCAGAACAATTATTTTGGGTTTACTCACGGCGGAACGCAATATGGGTACGAAATCGATTGCATACCATAATTATTAAGTAGCTAGTGTTAAGTTTTTCGAAAAATCGTGACGGTAACTACGTTGGCGGGAGTAATAATTGTTCGTTAAAATCGGTGCACGCGAGAGCCCAACCGGCTTGGCCGCCATTTCTTGCTGAGAGTAGAGCGTCCATCGAGCGTCTCTCCCGGGCACGGATCCGATAGAGGTCTTTTTCGTTTTGCCCGTTTCCATTCCTCATTCTATTTCTTGTCTGTAAGAAAACCTATTATTCTTTCGAACAGAGCGACCAGCGCAGCCGCTTATCAGACTGGTCAAGCGGGATACGCAGTAACTCCAGCGGCAACTGCCGCCACGTACACTCAACGACCCGCTGCTGCTGCGGCTACAGGTTACGAAACCTACCAAGCGGCCGCTGCTGCAGCCGCTACTGGGACCACGTACGCTGGTAAGTATATTTTAATCACCTTTAGTTCTATATTTTCTCCATTTCATAAAGTATTCAATTTTCATATTCAGTTCTTCAATTGCATTAAAGTTTCACAGAAACATTCTTAATTTATGCTTTTCTTTATAGCTGCTAATCCTGGTACTGTGGCTCAGACATACGATTACGGTTACGGACGTGCTGCACCTGCAGCTACATACGACGCTACTAAAACTTACTATCAGCAGCCCGCAGCAGCTGCAGCAACATATACTACTACAGAAACACATTATCAAGCTGCAAAACCAGCATATAGTACAACTAGTGCTTATACAGGGACAGCAAGACAGGCTACTACTACTGGACAAGCTAAAACATACCAAGCCTCGAGTACAGCGTACCAACAATCTAACCCTACGCAAAGTGCTACTTATTCTTCAGGATACACAGCACCTGCTGCACCTGCTGCTACACAATCAACAGCAACAAATAGTAAGTTTTTTTAAATCACATATTTACATATATGTTAATATTTTTCGCCAAAATTGAAAATCCTATGTAAATGTCCTGCTAACCGTGATGTAGGCACTAATAACATGAAATTGATCCTCTGGCTATTCAAATTGGTACACATGAATGATATATGATATTCTGCTAACATTTTAAACTATAATGTGGTTTAAAAGTTTAGCAGAATTGAATTTCTCTAAAATTACAAAATTAACACTATAAAGAAGTTTGAGTACTATATAACATACTTGATAAATATTTGGTAAAAAAAATAAAAGGAAAATAAAGTATTTATTTTGATGGGTACAAGTTAGTAGAATGGTTCCATGAATACAAAGGATTGACTCCTCCAAAGTTTGAGGTTTCAATTTCATTTCCCTTAGAAACGGCGAGTACAACGTATTCCGGCTACGACGCAGCGCTATATAGCGCTGCGACTATGTATGTAGCCCAACAGAGTGCAAACAGCAATTCAACTAACCAGAAGACTGGAGGTTGGCAGGCCTACACACGGAAGGGATTTGGCACTGGAGGGGGAGGGATGAAGGCAATGCGGCCCAAGCAGCCTCCTAAGCCTCAACAACTACACTATTGCGATGTCTGTAAAATCAGCTGTGCCGGACCTCAAACGTACCGTGAACATCTGGAGGGCCAGAAACACAAGAAGAAGGAAGCTTCGCTGAAAGTACCACAGCAACCACCAGCGCGTGGAGCAGGCAACAGTCTACGTTGCGAACTTTGTGATGTCACATGTACTGGAAATGACGCGTATGCTGCTCATATTAGAGGAGCAAAGCATCAAAAAGTTGTTAAATTACATACTAAACTTGGGAAACCAATACCAAGTGCAGATCCAACTGTTTTGAACCCAAAACCAGCAGCAGCAGCAGCTAAAACTGCAGGAGCTAAAAAGCCTACAGTAACAGCTACTCCTAAAATTAATTTTGTTGCTTGTAAGTAATTTGTTTTAGTAATAACCATAGTAGGTTTATATACTTATTGATATCATATGTGATGTTTTACAGCTGGGAATTTGGGAACTGTAAATCAAAATCAAACTGCAGAAAATAAGGCGGAAGAAATGGCGACAGAAGAAACTGTGGAAGAGACAGCTGTTGACGAGAGAGACATTCAACCAGTTGGTCAAGAGTATATAGAAGAAAACAAATCAGAAGATGGAAAAATTATAAGCTTCAACTGTAAACTTTGTGAGTGCAGATTTAATGACCCCAATGCCAAAGATATGCATATGAAAGGAAGACGGCACAGGTTTGCTTATAAGAAAAAAGTTAATCCTGATTTAGTGGTTGATATGAAGCCAAGCCTAAAACAAAGGAAAATGTTAGAAGAAAAATTTCGCAGACAACAAATGCGAGATGAATATTTACGTCGTAGAGAAGAAATCAATCAGTTGGGACCTATGGGTCCAATGATGGACGAAGAAATGATGTATTGGGAAGAACGGCGACGTTATGAAGAAGAATGTGAATATTATGAATGGTATCGACGTTATGGACGTGGACCTGGAGTTCCGCCAATGCCACGTCCTTTCCCAGGACCACCTCCAATGATGATGTTCCCTGGACCTCAAAGAAGGCCAGATTCATCTGATGATAAACATGTTTTAGCTCATCATACTACCATTTATCCTAAAGAACAGGAACTGCTGGCAGTTCAGAAAATTGTTTCACATACTGAAAAAGCACTAAAATTTGTGTCTGATACATTAGCAGAAGCTGGTAATTATTTTTCCTATTCTTGTTTTTTTCTTTTCTTTTTTTTTTTCTTTTTTTTTTCTTTTTTTTCTTTTTTTTTTCTTATGCATTTATGTTAGGGATAAAATATTTTTTTTTTTAACAGGCAAGAAAACAGCACCACCTACTACTAATGCTACACCAACAACCCCAACTACAACTGCACAACAACCACAGCAGCAACAACCACAGCAACAGCAACAAAATGCAGAAATAGCGAAAACTAAGGAAGATCCTGACAAGAAAAAGACAACAACACCACAAAAGGAAGATGGTAGTGATGGAAATTTGTTTTCATTCCAAAAGGAAAAGGAAGATTCAAGGATATTACGAGGTGTAATGCGTGTTGGCAATTTGGCAAAAGGACTTTTATTGTCTGGTGATAACCATGTTTGTCTTGTAGTTTTGTGTGCAGAAAAACCAACACGGTTAGTTAAAAGAAATTATCTTTTTATATAAATATTTTTATCTTATATACAAATTTGTTTATAAATACTTTCTTCTTTACAGATCATTATTAAACAAAGTTGCTGAAATTCTTCCTGCACAATTGAAAATCGTAGCTCCAGAAGATACTTACAATGTTGGAAAACATCCAGAATCAGCTGCATTAACTGTTTCAGGAGGCAGCGTGACTGTTAGCGTAACACTTACCAGTCCTTTAATGCGCGAAACGCCTAAACCGGCCGTTGCTGCAGGTGATTTGATCGTTTTATATTTTCGTAGTGGCCAAGAAAAGGATAACTTTGATAATTTTAGAGATTTTACAGAAAGCATCTTTTATTTTCATGCTACTTTCTCGAACATGTAGTTTGACTTCTGTTTGTTCTTTTCATGGCCCGAAAGCTTCTTTGTAAATTTTTTTAAGCACCAGGATGATGCAGGGGCAGCCAAGGACTTCAACGGTTGCCAGTGTATATACGCTCTAACATACAAAATTCCTTTTCTTTTCGATATAGCCGCATTTTAGTGTGTCCACGACTGAGTATGATGTGCACTTTTGCAAAGAATTAACATAAAAACAATGTAAGAGCGTACATAGAAATATATCAACAGCCATTTTTTAACGGAAAAGAGAGAGCGTAAACTTGATACGATTAGACGTCGTTTCCCTTCGTTTTAAGTTAATTTGTAGTAGTATACTTTATAAGTTCTGTCGATAATAGTTAAGCTGGAGTCTCCATTAAGGAAAAGAATATGCTAGTACGAACGTGGACACGCTTTTGGTATGAGGAAACAACGCTGAGGCAATCTTAAAACTATGGACTTTTTGATCATGCATTAATAATTTTAAAGAAAACCCTCTATCATCGAATGTTGTACGCATAATATACAATGCGCACTCAACTCCTTATTCTTAACCGACGATTCTTTTGATAGTGTTACTTGAACGTTTAATTTTGAGTAACGCTGTCAATATAAGTAAGAAACGTCGGTCGTTCTTTTATAATGCGAAAAAAAGGACGTCCACGAATAGGAGTGATGCATCATTGTTGTGTACTACATTCGATTAGGTTTATTTTTGTTTCAATGTTCGAGAATGTTCTAGGCTATGCCCTCAAGTTTAATGTACTTGAGTTAAAACATAATTATATATAGAGGGAAAACCCAAGTTGGGCATGATCAAACACTCTAAGTGTTGTCTAAGCGTGTTGTGCTTTCTTTGTTGGAATCTCAGATAATGCTGGACAGCAGCAACAGGGAGCTGCTCAACCGCAAACAACGCCCGCGGCGCCCGCTGTGACGAAACCAGATCCACCAGATGTACTTCCCAAGGCTAAGTGTTTGGAGGCTTTAGCTGCACTCAGGCATGCCAAGTGGTTTCAGGTTTGAATCAATCAACTCTCAGTTCAAGATCTTGAATTGTCAATGCCATTTTGTTGGCACTAATGACTGTTTTCTGTTA